TTAATTATATTGTAATATATAACCTCTATTTTTTAATCTTTGTAAATAGCCATGAATAAATTTAATGTTTTAAGCTAATCATTGTATTCCACCATTAGGGGGATGATCATCTTATTGGCATTTATGGTTGATCCCTGTGGAAGCATTACATTGGAAAAAAACAAAAATTGAAAAACCAAGTAGAACAATTTGGTAATAATTCACATGAACAATGTTAGTCAGTGGATGTATATCAGTGAAAATAAAAATAGGACAGGTGTGGTGGTCACCCTTGTCACCCCAGCACTTCGAGAGGCCGAGGCGGCAGATCACTTGAGATCAGGAGTTCCGGATCAGCCTGACCAACATGGTGAAATCCTGTCTCTGCTAAAAATACAAAAATTAGCCAGGTGTGGTGGTGGGCACCTGTAATCTCAGCTACTCAGGAAAGTGAGGCAAGAAAATCACTTGAACCCAAGTGGCAGAGGTTACAGTGAGCTGAGATCATGCCAGTGTACTCCAGCCTGGACAACACAGTGAGACTCCATTTCAAAAAAAAGAAAAGAAAAGAAAAGAAAAATAGAAAAATAAATTAAAATGTAGGTAGAAATAGAAACATATAGAAAATCTGTAAACAGAACAGGGTATAATAATCAGAGAAGAAGAAATAATTTGAATGAAAAGTTATTCAAAGTTTTCAAATCTTTGTAACTGGAAAGATGTTACATATTTGTAGATATATGAAATATATTGTATGAGAAATAAGGATTTAAAGACAGCAAGTGGCAAGCGCAATAAAAAGAGAGGGTCTGTAGAAATATTTCTTCTCCCTATTGAAAGTAATAATAATGATTATTATTACAGTTATTTAAAACCTATATGGAAAGTAATCACACCACATGTCTATAACTTCTAATTTTTAGAACAGTCCCTAGGTGATGTGGTGATCATGTGATTAATATTATAACCCCAGCTTACATATAAAAAATTACTAATAACAGTAGCTATTGAGTAAGATTTAATTATTAATTCCCTGGCCTGAATCTCATTTGCCTCCTCTGTAAATGGGGACAGAAATGCCCAACTTCAGATCTGTTTTAATCTTTAAATAAAATCATATTTCTAAAGCACTGAAAAGTATCTGGCACATGAATGTCAGCTAGTCTTTTTTTCCCTTAACATAAAGTCGGTTACATTATTTCTTTTAGTAAAAGACAAAATGCAAAGAATTCTCTGACAGATTGGATACTTGAGCAGGGGATAGAGGTGAATAGAAAGGTAAAGCTCATTTGTAGTCATTAGTGGGTAATAGGTATTGATACTGACCCTTCTGTATTTTAAACATCACTTTTTTATTTTTATACATTCAAGGGGGTGCACGTGCAGATTTGTTACCTGGGCATATTGTGTAATGCTGGGGCTTAGGCTGCTAGTGAACTCATCACCCAGATAGTGAAAATTGTACCCAAAAGGTAGTTTTTCAGCTCTTGCCTTTCTATCTCCCTCCCCCTTTCCTAGTCTCTAGGGTCTATTTTTTCCATCTTTATGTCCATGTGTAGCCACTGTTTAGCTCCCACTTATAAGTGAGAAAATGTACTATTTGGTTTTCTGTTTCTGCATGAATTCACTTAGAATAATGGCCTCTAGCTGCATTCGTATTGCTGCAAGGGACCTTATTCTTTGTTATGGCTGTGTATTATTCTATGGTATATATGCACCACATTTTATTTACCCAATCTACCATTGATGGACACTTAGGCTGATTTCATGACTTTCCTATTGTAAATAGTGTTGTGATAAACAAATCAGTGTAGGTGTATTACCAATCTATTTTCCTTTGGGTATATATCCAATAGTGGGATTCCTGAAATTAATGATAGTTCCATTTTTAGTTATTTGAGAAATTTTCATATTGTTTTTTATAGAGTTTGAGCTAATTTACATTCCCAACAGTGTGTAAATGTTCCTTTTTCTCCACATCCTCACAAACATCTGTTATTTTCTGACTTAATAATAATCATTCTGACTGGTGCGAAATGGTATCTCATTGTGTTTTTGATTTTGTTGTTGCTTGTCTGTTCATTTTTAAGACAGAGTCTCACTCTGTCACCCAGTCTGGAGTGAAGTAGCACAGTCATGGTTCACTGTGTTCTCCACCTCCCACTTCTCACCTCAGTCTTCTGAGTTGCTGGGACCACAGGCACACATCATCATACCCAGCTAATTTTTTTTTTTTATATGAAGTCTCCCTTCATATCAAAAGGCTAATCTGTGACTCCTGGACTCAAGTTACCCTCCCACCTCATCCTCCTAAAATGCTGGGATTACAGGCATAAGCCACTACACCTGGCCTCAATGTGGTTTTAGTTTATATTTTTCTGATGATTAGTGATGGTGAACTTTTTTAAAAGCTTGTTAGCTGCTTGGGTGTTTTTTTTTTTTTTTTTTTTTTTTTTTTTTTTTTTTTTTTTTGAGAAATGTTTGTTCAACCTTTGCCCAAGCATGTTTTAATCGGTTTGTTTGGTTTTTGCTTGTTTAATTGTTTAAGTTTCTTATTGATTCTTGATATTAGTCTCTGTCAGATGCATAGTTGACAAATATTTTCTCCAATTCTGTAGGTTGTCTGTTTATTCTGTTGTTTAATTTGGCTGTACAGAAGCTTTTTAGTGTAATTAAATCCCATTTATTCATTTTCATTTCATTTTCATTGCACCTGCTTTTGAATTCTCAATCATAAATTCTTTGCCTAGGCCAATGTCCAGAAAAGATTTTCCTAGGTCTTCTAAGAGTTTTCTAGTTTGAGGTCTCATATTCAAGTCTTCAGTCCATCTTAATTTTTGCATATGGTAAGAAGTGGAGGTCCAGTTTTATTCTTCTGTATATGGCTAGCCCGTTTCCCTAGCACATTTGCTGTGTAAGATGTCCTTTCCCAGTTGTTTGTTTTTGTTGACTTCACCAAAGATCAGTTGACTGTAGGTGTGTGCTTTATTTCTAGGTTCTCTATTCTGTTCCATTGATTTTGTATCATTTTTACAGCAGTGCCATGCTCTTTTGGTTACTGCAGCCTTGTAGTATAATTTGAAGTTGGGTAGTGGGATGCATTTGACTTTGTTCTTTCTGCTTAATGTTGCTCTATTTGGGCTCATTTTTGGTTCCATATGAATTTTAAAATAGTTTTTTCTAATTTGGAAAAAATTACTTTGGTAATGTCATAGGAATTTCATTGAATCTGCAGATTGCTTTGGGAAGTATGGTCATTTTACTGATACTGATTCTTCCAATCTAGGAGCATGAAATATCTTTCCATTGGTTTGTATAATCTGTGATTTCTTTCATTAATGTTTTTTAGTTCTCCTTGTAGAGATCTTTCACCTCCTTGGTTAAATGTATTTCTACATATTTTATTTTTGTGTGGCTATTTTAAATGGGATTGAGTTCTTGATTTGGTTTTCAGCTTGAAGAATATTGGTTTATAGAAATGCTACTGATCTTTGAATGTTGATTTTGTGATACTGACTTTCCTATGATCAGATCTCATAAGAAGAAAAAGATGATTAACACAACTCAGAAAATGATCATATCATAAAGTATCTTCCCTCCCTTTAGCATAATCATGACGTATCTTGGAAAGCAATTCCACACCATAAAATGGACACAATCTGGGAATATATAAACCCAAATACATGTACCACTATACTTCCAAAGCGGTTCTTTAGGCCTGCACTGTAGCCAAGTCACAGGGATATTTTTCTTTAAGTTAGTAACACCATATTAGAACTCATGCACTCAAGTGAGCATCAAAGCAACTTGACTCATGGCACTGCTATGGATGTGGCACTGCCTGAATCCAGCAAACCCATCACTGAATGTATTCCATCTATGGCCCAGAGTCTACCACAGAATACACCCTGCAGCAGCAACGCTTCTAATCATGTCCTAGTCTCATTTGCGCACACCCAAGCACTCCACAGGCCTATTATGTTTCAGATTGCATCCATGACTCAGGGCCAGTTACAACCCAAACTCAACCACAAGGCACACCAGACAGATTCATTGTGACAGTAAACTAGTCTGCTGCCAACTTAGACATATTACTGTCCATCAGTATGTCAGGGAAATTATTACAGCATTAACACAAACTAGACTGTCCCCAATCTGAGGCAAGTATCTAACCTAGGTAGCTTTTAAAAAGGTAGAAACAATGACACTGTCACTATCTAGGTGGTATTATGAAGCAATCGTCCATTTATATAATGCAAAATGGAGAAGACAGAAAAGAAGATCGTAAATCATAAAAGGCTCCGAAAAGTATCTGAGAGCAACCAGTGTTTACTATTCAGGAAAGGAAACATAATATAACATAGTGAGTGAAGGGCCTTTGAAATTCTAAGAGGGAGCATTGTTTTTCTGGAATTATGCAGTAGTGTCCCTATGCATCTAAATTTTAAAACTTTATTATTTCAGATCCAAATACCAGGTAACCAATCCTCCACGTTTACTGAGTCTCCTCTCACATAGAATATTCTTAATTTCTCAAATCCACTTTGCAAGAATGTATCATTTCTCTCATGATTTCCTCCTTAATCTCAGTCCAGTGGCATTTTACACACACGCATGCACACACGCACACACACACACACACACACACACACTCACACTCTTCGTCTTGGCTACTCTTTACATCCTGATTAACAAGTATAATTAGCAATAAATATATGTTAATTTAATGCCATAAGGAAGGTTTTTCTTAGAGACTGAAGGGATGAAAGACATGGGAAGTGCAAGATTGCTGTATTTTGGAAATTTTCTGCATGGTTTTCTGTGTAGGTGAGGCAAATATTTAAAAGTGAGATTGTCTTTTTAACTGTATTTCATATTCCCTCTCCAGTTCTTTTCTGCTGTACTATGAAGTTAAAGAATAGATTTTCTGTTTCTCCAAGAAATAGGCAACACGCTATGAAAGAAGTTACAGTTTCTCACTGGAAGCAAGAAAACTCCTGCAAAAAATGTGTCTGTAGGGAATGGCCACCAATACGCTTCATATCAACAATACACAGCTCCACCCTTCTACCTTCCTCCTAGTGGGGGTCCCAGGGCTGGAAGATGCACATGTATTGATTGGCTTCCCCTTCTTTGCAGTGTATCTAATAGCCCTTCTAGGGAACATCACTATCCTGTTTGTGATACAGACTGAACGGAGCCTCCACCAACCCATGTTTTACTTCCTAGCCATGTTGGCCTGCACTGATCTGGGCTTGTCTACAGCAACCATTCCCAAGATGCTGGGGATTTTCTGGTTTAATCTTGGAGAGATTGCATTTGGTGCCTGCATCACACAGATGTATACCATTCATATATGCACTGGTCTGGAGTCTGTGGTACTGACAGTCATGGCCATAGATCGCTATATTGCCATCTGCAACCCCCTGAGATACAGCATGATCCTTACCAACAAGGTAATAGCCATTCTGGGTATAGTCATCATTGTCAGGACTTTGGTGTTTGTGACTCCATTCATATTTCTCATCCTGAGATTGCCTTTCTGTGGTGTCCGGATTATCCCTCATACCTATTGTGAACACATGGGCTTGGCAAAGTTAGCTTGTGCCAGTATTAGAGTTAATGTTATATATGGATTGATTGCCTTCTCAGTGGGATACATTGACCTTTCTGTGATTGGATTTTCCTACGTCCAAATCCTCCGAGCTGTCTTCCATCTCCCATCCTGGGATGCCCGGCTTAAGGCACTCAGCACATGTGGCTCTCATGTCTGTGTCATGTTGGCTTTCTACCTGCCAGCCCTCTTTTCCTTCATGACACACCGCTTTGGCCACAACATCCCTCGTTACATCCACATACTTCTGGCCAATTTGTATGTGGTTTTTCCCCCTGCTCTTAACCCTGTTATCTATGGGGTCAAGACAAAACAGATAAGAGAGCAGGCACTTAGGATACTTAAACCTAAAAGTTTTTGACATTTTGCCCCCAAGAGGATCTTTCACAACAATTCAATTAGACAATAATGAGATCATAACAGAAGTAAATACTGGAAACATTTTTTTTTTTACTACTCCTGTTGCATTCCCACATACGATGTCTCATGATTTCAGTACAGTCCATTGGAAGGTATAGCTCAAAGATTCCAAAACAATCTCTCCATTTCACCCATTAAAACTACAAAAAGTACTCAACTTTAAACCCCATGATACTACAAAATGCCTAAAGAGAGACAAAGGTTTTGTAAAATTTGTTGCCCATTAATTGTCTTGAATAGCCTTTCCACGTGAAGATTCTCTTCATTTACATATCTGAAGCTGAATTTCATGACAATTAAAATGATGTGGAATTTCATGAAAACCAATCAAGATACAGTGGCAAGAGAAATTAGGAGTCATAAGATCTAGATTTAAATACAGATTATGGCTTCTCCTGAAATTTTGACCTGAGATTTCACAGTATCAAATTCATATTGATTTATAGCATTTTATGAGCAGGGATATTGAAGCTTAAAGAGAATGTTGTAAAACTCTGTGCAGTTTGTAAAACATTAAAAGATTTGGAAACAAAGTGAGTGCTTACTAAACATAATTATAGTGTGACTGTTATTTCTAATGTATGTAGATTTAGTTTACTAAATGCACTTCTAGTATAAAGTCCCTGGTTTGAAGTCAGCTCTCCAGATCCAGATTATCCCAATGCATGGGGCTCTTCATGGACCTCTCAGCTCTTACCTTCGTGAAAGAGACTTTCAGTTAGGAGACTATAAAGTCTGAAGAGTTAACAGGGATCTATCTTGGGCTTAAGGACTCAGGGAAACCCCATCCTCCACAGTCTTTGCTAGAGTGGATTTTAGGGCAGACAGTGTGGCTGCTGAAATAATATAAAGTCATTCACAGTAAGATATAGAAGATAAATAAGACAATATTTCTTTGGGTATTCTAGGAGCTGCAAAAATGTGAAGTTGGCTCCTAATTGGAAATGGAGCCTTGATTGAAATTCAAGGTAGAGTGATCAGAAATGTACAGAGAATAGTGCAAAGGTAATGAAGATATAAACTGAGACAAGTGGAAGCAAACTGAAGTGATACTTCATATAAATATATAAAGCAAAAGTAACCAAGTGATCATTTTCTAAGTATTCTAATTTTGAAATTGACACAGAATTAAGAAAAAAACTAAACAAATAATTTAACAAGGAATAAAGATGACAAAAAAACTGAGTAAAATACCACTTTTCAATTATAGTTTAAGATATTATTTTTAAATATTTTAAATATGAAAATCTCATTTTAGAGTCTGAATATTTGCATTTGTATATTTAAAGGCTCTAATATGTTCAGTTTTGTTCACTCTACCAAAAATATGTTTAACCTCCAGACCACTTAATTTTGGTATCATACATTAAGAACCTCTACTATTGAAGAGTTTTCCTCCATCATTTCTGAGACTTTGCTGTTTATTATTTTAAAATTCCAAAGCTGCTGAAAGCTAGGTCTTTACACACAGTTACTACATTTGCTAGCTAAATATTTTCATCAGGGACAACTGGTGAAAATGTTGACCTCCACTAACTTAAGCCTGTCAATTGTTACTATCTCTAAGCTGCTTAGTATCATCTAGTTCAACTTCAGGGAAATAGTTTTTGTTGCCTTCCCTGTTTATGTACAGATGTTTCTGATTTATCTATGCACTGGCCTGGAATCTGAGGTACTGACAGTCCTGGCCATAGACCACTATGTTGTCTGACCATAGACCACCATGCGCCTGACGACAAAGCAAGAATCTGTCTCCAAAAAAAAGACTTAAATGTAAAACCTAAAACTTTAAAAAGCCAAGAAGAAAACCTAGGAAATACCATTCTGTACAAAGTCTCTGTCGATGATTGCATGACTAAGACCCCCCAAAGTAAGGACAACAAAAATAGGAAAGTGTGTCCTAATTAAACTAAAATGTCTTTACACAGTAGAAGAAACTGTCAACAGAGTAAACAAATAACCTACAGAATGGGAGAAAATATTTGCAAACTATGCATCCAACAAAGATATAACATGCAGAATCTATAAGGAACTTAAATCAACAAGCCAAAAAAAAAAAAAATATATATATATATATATATATGTAAAAATTAGCAATGTATGTGAACAGACATTTCTCAAACAAAGATATGAGCATGGCTAACAAGCATATGGAAAATTGCTTAACATCACTAATCATTAGAAAAATGCAAATCAAAACCACAGTGAGATACTACCTTATACCAGGCGGATGGCTATTACTAGGAAGCCAAAAAATAACAGGTGCTGCAAGGTTGCAGAGAAAAGGGAACACTTCTACACTATTAGTATATATGTAAATTAGTTCAGCCACTATGAAAAGCAGTTTGGAGATTTGTCAAAGAATGTTTAGGACTACCATCTGACTCAGCAACCCCATTACTGAGCACATACCCAAAGGAATATAAATCCTCCTACCAAAAAGACACATGAACTCATATGTTCATTGCAGCATTATTCACAATAGCAAAGACATGGAATCAACCTAGGTGTCCATCAGGGTGGACAGGATAAAGAAAAAATGGTACATATACACCGTGGAACACTACACAGCCATAGAAAAAAACAAAATCAGCAGGCACAGTGGCTCATGCCTGTAATCCCAGCACTTTGGGAGAACAAGGTAGGCAGATTCCTTGAGCTCAGAAGTCTGGAATCAGCCTGGGCTACAGGGTAAAACCTTCTCTACAAAAAATACAAAAGTTAGCCCAGCATGATGGTGTGCATCTGTAGGACTAGCTATTTGTAGGGCAGGAAGCAGGAGGAACACGTAAGCCTGGAGCTAAAGGCTGCAGTGAGCCATGTTTGTGCCACTGCACTCCAGCCTAGGTAAGAAAATGAGATCCTGTCTTAAAAAGAAAAAAAAGGAAAAGAAAAAAAAAGAAGGAATGAAATTATTTCCTTTGCAGCAACATAGACACTGCTGTTAAACTAGTGCATTATCTTAAGTGATTAATGCAGGAACAGAAAACCAAATACCACATCTTCTTACTTGTAAGTGGGAGCTAAACACTAAGTACAAATGGACACAAAGAAAGGAACAGTAGGCACGGGAGCCGACCTGAGGGTGGGCGGTGGGAGGAGGGTCAGGATCAAAAACTATCACTTGTTATGCTCACTATCTGGGTGATGAAATAATCTGTATACCAAACATCAACAACATGCAATTTATCCATGTATCAAACTGTACATGTACCCCCTGAATAAAAAAAGTTGGAAGGGAAAGAAAAGAAAGAAAACAAAAAAGAAAGGTCTTGAAGAAAGTGATGATGCTTGTTCCCATTACTTGAGGAGTATGAACAATTCACGAGGCTCAAAATAAAAATTAAAAAGAAAAGAAAATCTCATAATTCTTAACTAAAATCCTGTTGTATATAAATGTCATTTTTAAATCTCTCACCACAGCAAAAATTATTATGAGACTTTCCGAATATCACACTGCATTTTGTCTGTAAGATTTTATTTGGTTTCCTCATGTATTACTATCATTATAACACCATGATAAAAGTTACGATGTTAACACAAGTCCATTTAACAGCATGGTGTGAGCTGTACTTATTTAACATGCATGTGCAAGAAACCTACAAAAATTTCTGAGTTTGCTTATTGGTTCCATGAAAGACACTACTGAGTGTGCACAGACAAATGAGTGTGAATACCTACAGATGTATATGGAAGAGCCCTGTACCCAGGAGACTGACTTACTACCTACAGGACATGCAGTTAGTATATGGCTGGGTTGCCCGGAGTCCTTTCTTTCAGAGAGAAAGAAATTCCTTTTCTTCTACCTTATGCCTGTCTGTCTGTCCCAGGAGAGCCTTTTAGTCCCAAAAGAGGAAGGATTGATAAGTTCTCAAAAGGGGCAGAATTCTTGAAATGCTAGAATTATAACTGCCTCAGATACTTACAGAACCAACCAGACTTCATTATCAGTGAAGCAAGAGCCCATCATTCTTTACATTTTTTGTGAGTCTGGGCAGAGGGTGCTAAGGGTGGCTGTAAGACTAGCCAAAAGACTGGACAGACCTAGGTCTTCAATTCATATCTGTGCTTTTATCCATTTGTGGGTCAGTATTACTGAAGTAGTCTGAAAAGAGAGTAAGTAGAGGCTACATCCTGTCTCAGGTCAGCAGGTATATGTGCTCTGGAAACTTCTCTCTTTTGTCCGCCTCTGGGTGTTTGGTGGTACCAGAAATGCAGAGAAACTGCAGTTTGTCCATAGAAGACTAATAGGTGATAATAGGTGATAGGAAAGCTAGAAAGTGCATCATCTTGAGCCCCATTGAGAAAAGTTGGAGTTTGTAGCTGTAAATATGGAAATTTAGGAGCTTCAGGACAAAACATATGCCTACAAATGCTTGAATTATTCAGGAGGAACTAAATTTAGTCTGTGTAACTATAGAGGTTGGGGACAAAGACCATAGTTGGGGACCAACAACAGTCAGGAAGTAGTTCAACATATTTCTGTTCATATAAAGAATTGCTAAAAGCTATGATTTTCTGCCAACAAAAGAAAACTATACTCAGAAGAGCAACTGTCACTGGATGCACTGAATAACGTCTAAAACTACACCTGGGGAAGGGGAATATCTTACAGGCCTGAGTATTATGAGGTGACCTGATCCCTAACAACCTTTCCAATTTTTAAAACAGGGCTTATTTGGTGCTATGTTCTGGGTCTATCCTGCAACCTCGAAAAAGGCTTAAACTTCAGGTCTTTGCTTTAATCTGTAACCTTCAACTTCTCTGGTTTCCACATCTTGTTCCTAGATGGAACTAAAAGCAATGAGTCTTCAATCCTAGAGCTGTCATTGGCAAGTTCTGATTGCAAACCAAGATTGGAAGGTCAGAGGAGAAAAAAAGCAAATGTATTTTCAGATGGTTTACTTTTAGGGCTGACTATGTTATTCAATGCTTGTTGAATTAATTATGATTGAAAAACATAAGAGAACATTCTAGAGAAAGAAGGGG